GCTGTTGACACAGGGGCCGGACTGTTACAGGCTTCCACACGGAAGCGTCAGAGAACCCAGAGTGAAACCCTTCCGCCGGCTCATCAAATATTCATCATCATCGCCAAAAACACCACTCCCAAACCACAGAGAGCTCAACTTTAGAAAACCATGTGCGGTATATTCTGGTGTTTTAAAAGAGCCAGAAGCTAACCAGAAGCATATAATATTCCAATATAATCTTAGGAAAAATACTATCTTAGGCAAGACACTACAGGTAAAACATTTTTCATTCTGGTCAATTTAGAAATTTTGGGTTATTTGGCTGTCCATAACATATTCTTTCAGAATAGTGAAAAGAAAACATCCAAAATACACTTTCAAGTGTTTATTTTGTTGCACTTTATCTACTGGCGTCTATATTTCAATTATAATACATACATTTAAAGAGTTTATCTCCACTGCAGCAGCACTTACATACACCAAAATGTACATGTTTTATTCTTATCTATATTCTGAGTTTGTTTGAGGGGTTTGTTTATATATCATTCACCCGATTTTATTATTGCACTTTATCTCTTTACTTCTGTAGATTTCAGTTAAAACACATATCTTTAAAGGCTGTTTTCTCAAAATAAGTTTTCAACTCCACTTCAGCAGTGCTTACATGCACCAAATTTTAGAATTTAATTCCAATCTACGTTCTGAAGATTTTAATAGAGCGATTTGCTCATATATCATCCACCTGGTTTTGTACAGCATTTTATGCCTAAAAACATAGTAAAAAAATGTCTGACTCTAGACAATATTTTTCGAATTATACAGTGAGAAAAAGAGATATACAAAATCCTCACTGTCAACAAAATATAACAAGAATTTTGAACCTGGCTTTATCCAATGTTTAGATTTATTTTCTGGAAATTTGTGTATACTTAATTAGGTAATGCCTCATTTGCATCTTTAAACATAACATTTCAAAAAACTTGTAATACAAAAAAAAAAAAATAGTTTGCAACTCTTAATGTAATCAATCAACTGGAGAAGTATGGTGATGTCTATTAGTTACAATTTTTATACTATTCACCTGGTGTGTCTTGGCTTAAGCGTATATCTTCAGATGGATTACATCAGTGAAATGCACAAGAGTACCACAGTAGACATGAAAGCGTGCTCTTTAAATAGAGCTGCTTTAACATGTATTTAGGACACAGCAGACGTCTTCCCCTCAAAGCCTGCTCCATTTAAATCCCCTTTAAAAAACTAGAAAAGAAAGATATGTGTATAAAGCAGTACTTCTGCACAGTACATGCGTGTTTATCAGGAATCATTCAGTTCTGTGTCATCTAATGGCTACAGTAGAGTAAACACACACACACCGATGCTGGACATCTGCCACTACCTTCAGCACTTTCTCTCTCTCTCACACACACCATGCTGAAAGATCTGCACCGCTGAATGCTTAAATGTCCCACGTGTCCTTGAGTGCTCGAGTTTAATAGTAACAGGTCGGGGTCAGACATTAACCATGACTGCTTGGTGAGCCGGATATTTCAAATGTGGAGGCAGAAATGATTTCCTCTGTTCTTGTAATCTGTAATCTTACATTTGGTATACTCTCTTCTATTCTAGTTCTGTCTGGTGATGGGTTTAGGGACTTGTAACTTGCTGTTTCGGAGGTGAGTGTTGTTGAAAGTGGAGCTAACATAAAAGGGATGCTGATGAAAAACAAAATATTAATAAAGCACTCAACTCTCCAACAACTCTAAAAACCTGAAACAGCAATTATAGTAAAATCTAAAGTTACAGTAAACAATAGAACGCTGAATAACCGGTGATGTATTTCACATATATTCTAACAGTGTTTGATATCTCACTTTATTTACAGCTCTCTTTTGATGTTGAATTATATTAATTTCAGACTTAATTGTTCATATTAAGAATTTGTTTCATTTGATTTCACTTGCATGATTTTGATTTATATGATTTTATATGATTTTATCTGACTTTGTTGCAACCTAGAATTAAAGTGCTGGTCTCGTCTGGCCAGAGGAGAACGGCACACTATTTCCTTTTTTTTAATACTGTAAAGCTGCTTTGACACAATCTGCATTGTAAAAAACGCTATGTAAATAACGGTGACTTGACTTGATTACAAGAAATATATCCAAATAAAGGTAAAAATGCATAGGAAATCTTTCATTTCTGATACTGAAGCAATAAGAAATTAATATTTGTTCCTTGATACCGTAACTTACATTCGTGCATTGCATTTTGTTTTTCAACTCATGCATTGCCTTGCATCATGCTCTATTTCTTGAGCTACAGGAACTGCCTGTATTTTTCTGGTATAATGTAAGACAGCTTTACACCAGTGTACAGCTGTCATATGCAAGATATCATATCACAAAAGCCGATAGTGCAGTTAATCATGTTATCAGGGTGGGTTAAGATGGTAACTGAAACGCTGTAGTTTCAGTTATCACAGATTAACTCCTCAGTTACTGCAGAGAGTAAATGACTAATTATTCCTGTAGAGCATGGCGCTTGCAACTCCAAGGTCATAAGTTCGATTTCCTGAGAATCTCATGGATGCAATGTAGGTAAATGTAAGTTTTTGGATAAAAGCATCTGCCAGATGCAATAATGTAAACAAGTCCTAAAACATTATTTTATCTGTTTTGGACAAAGAACTGTTTCTCTAACCAGAAATCTGACTTTGCTGCATTAGAAATGCTGTTTTTATTTTTGCTTTCCATGAAGTGCAAAAATACACTCAGCTCTGGTTTAATCTAAAGCCTTTTCACACCAAGGATGATGACTATAATGATAGCTATAACTATAAAGTTAAATAATCCTTAAGTTTACATGACTTTAATTTCACAGAATCACTTTCAGAATGATTTTTCCAGCTGATGAACAATAAAAACTTTGAAAGCCAATCAGGATCCACCTAAAAGAGCGTTATGGCACAGAAACGCTCGTTATCACAGGTCGGAGTGGACGTTATCATTACAGTTATTATTCTTAGTGTGAACGAGTCTCAACCATAAAGGTTTAGGATTGCAGATTTCAGGTGTTTGTTGCGTGTCGTGTTGGGAGAGATTGGCATTAGAGCAGCTGTCAGTCAGCGGGCTGCGGGTTATAATCAACACGTGGGTGTCTGTGAGGAAAAACAGCTTGATCTGTTCAAATATCATCACCTTCTCTCCTCTAATGTCACTGTATCCTCAGCGCATTCGAGTAAATGTCGTGCGATCACACACACATCCCATCATGCTGAACCAGCCAGAATCCTGTTGCCATGGCAGCGCGGAATGCAGCAGATACAGTCTCTCTGATGTAACGCGGCAGATGTTGTGCATCTCCAGATGTCCGTGACTCGTCATCACCGGCAAATCATGACGTCAGCTGAATGCTGATTACAGTCTGATCTGTGCACGCTTTAAGGAATGTTCTGGGTTCAACATGAGCGGCATCTGTGATGTGCTGTCATTCATTCACACTTGTCCCTCAGTTGGTTAAAATAACCAGTAATGCACTTGCACTGGACACTTAAGTTAATTGCTCTGAGCAAAATTGTGTTAGCTGATCTGTAAAGTGTGTAGTTCATCTTTTTTTCATGTTTTTTTGTTTTGTTTTGTTTTGAGTCAGATGACAGTTCCTGTGAATACATATATTGTGAATAAATCTGAATATATACTATAAGTCTGAATATACATGTAAAGCATGAGTATACTTTAGATAAGTGATTATCACTTATAATAATTAATGTAGTACAATATGTGCATTGATACAAACAGGCTATATGCATACTTTCTTAAAAAATCAATAAGAACATATATTTAGATAAACAATGTATATTCAGATTTGCATATACAAATATATGACCCTCTCTGTGAAATCCAGGCTAAAGTCTCAAAATCTAATTATGAGATAACAAGCATCAAAGTTTGATTTCAACCATAAAAAGTCAATATTAAAGATTTCAAGGTTACATTTTCACAGAATGTTCTTTACCTTATGAGGGATGATTTTATGTAGAAAACAGTCAATCACAAAAAATGACTTTAGCTGGGTTTTCACAGCCAGGGTCACACACACACACACACACACACATATATATATATATATATATATTTCATTCTTGTTTTATATACATTTATCAGTGCATTGTCTTGCCCTGTAGATGTCTGTTATAAATGCATTACTTAGATTTTTGCTTGTTTTTTCAGTCTGAGGAAGAAGTTGCAATGATTTTTTGTGGAAATCGACATCATGTCAGATGTCAGTGGTGGTGGTGGTTCACATAAAGGCACTGAGACATTCTATAAAGAAATCTAGTGCTTGTAATGTTCCTCATTTGTAAGTCGGGTTCGGATTAAAGCATCTGCTAAATGAATAAATGTACGTGAAAAAACTGCACAAGAAGGATGATTTCAACACATTTCTGAAGCTTTAAGCCATTTACTTTCTTGGCTCTTCATAGAATAAAGTTTTATAAGTGGGATGGCAGATCTGATGGGGTTGAACAATGACTCAAACAATGAAATAATATTGTTAATTGTTAAAATGTTAATCTACGATTATCATAATGTTCCTACTCAATTTCACGATTCAACCTGACTTATATGTTCAAACAAGACATGACCACATTTAGTGCATACTGTGGTGGTACCATGGTAAAATAATGTATTTCCTCTAGGAAACCTTCAACCGACTTCCCTCAATGGTTCCTCCTAGACAGCCATGAGATTAAATAGAGATATTTACTAACATCTCCTGCTTCTCAGATGTTTCTCCAGAGAAAAAGAGATCTCAACAATCTCTCAGAGTTTCTCAAAAATACTGCATTCAAAAGTCAGAGACCTCAATATGACCTCATTTCATAGGATGACAACTAGTGACTCCTTGAAGTCTCATGAGGAGTTTTAGGAGAAGCGTTCATTTTTCTGCATTATTTACTTGGGTCTGATCGTGCTGTAATGCGTCTCAGAGCGTCTGTCTCTCTGGATCTGTCTTACCTCGCAGTCGTACAGCAGGTGCAGCTGCCCATCGATCCACTCCTCGATGTCCAGCCTCCTCTGGAGGTCTTTGCGGTTGTATTTGACCGTCAGTTTGCCCAGTTTGCGTTGGGCAGGCTCCTCCACTTTAGTCTGAAACATCACTCTGGACTGGGTGCCCGGCTCCGACGCCATGCCTGCCACAACCTCACGCCAACGGGGAGAAGACCAAGAGACGGCAGCCTCTTTCTCTGTCTGTCTGTCTCACAGATTCAAACACAGGCTCCTTCAGTCGCCGTCTTGCTGTTGTTTGCTCCTCAGTGTGTGTCTCTATACTGCAGTGTGTTTCTGACTCATGATCGTGGTGTTTCTGTCCGACAGCCTCCTTTAGTGCCTGTCTTCTGTCTGCGCTCTACTAACACTGATTCCCTCCCTCCCTCATTCTTTCTCTCTCTCTCTCTCTTGCTCACTCACTGTCTGCCGTCTTCATGTGTGTGTGTGTGTTGAGGAGGAACATAGTTCAACTTAAGACTGATAACATGCAGTAAGATTGCGGTCGGAGGCCAAAACACTTGTTTTAAAGCACTTGTTACTATTTATGGAATCCATATGCGGAATTAAAAATGACATTTATATTTATTCATTAAACAAATGCTTTTATAAAAAATATATATTTTACTTATTGTTTCAATTATAATTTAAAATATGATAATATAATTATAATTAATTTTAAAAAATGAAGAACTTAAGCTATTTTGTTTAGTTTAAAACAAATTTTAATTTACTAATTGTATGCTATTAATACATTTGTAAAGAAACTATGCTGTTTGCTAGTGCAAAACTCACCATCACAACTGTTATTGGTTGCCAGGGTGTTGCTGGGTTCTTCTGGGTGGTTGCTAGGGATTGGTATGAGGTTGTTAAGATGTTATGGTTTTCTGGGTGGTTGCTAGGGGTTGCCAAACTGTTGCTAGGGTGTTCTGGGTGGTTCTTAGGAGGTTGTTAAGCTGTTGCTAGGGTGTTCTGTGTGGTGCCTAGGGAGTTACTAAGCTGTTGCTAGGGTGTTCTTGTTCTGAATGGTTGCCAGGGTGTTGCTATGTGTTTGCCTGGATGTTCTGGGTGGTTTCTAGGGCATTGGTATAAGGTTGCTAAGAGATTCTAAATGACAGTTAGAGTGTTAGTGTGCACCGTGGTTTCTAGGGTGCTCCAGGTGGTTCCTGGGGGTTGCCAAGCTGTTGCTAGGGGGTTCTTGATCTGAATGGTTGCCAGGGTGTTGCTATGTGTTTGCTTAGGTGTTATGGGTGGTTGCTAGGGCATTGGTACAACATTATTAAGATATTATGAGTGGCTGTTAGTGTGTTACTATGTGGTTTCTAGGGTGTTCTGGGTGCTTAGAGCTGTTGGGTGGTCACCACGGTGTTGCTATCCGTTTTCTGTGGTGTGTTACTATGTGGTTTCCAGGGTGTTCTGTGTGCTTAGAGCTGTTGAGTGGTTGCCAGGGTGTGGCATTGCTAGGGTGTTTTGGGTGGTTGCTAAGCTGTTGCTAAGCTGTTGCTAGGGTGTTCTGAATGGTTGTCAAGGTGTTGCTATGTGGTTCTTACAGTTTGTTAGGGAATTGTGCGTGGTTGCTAGGGCATTGGTTTAAAGTTGCCAAGATGCTCTAAATGGTTGTTATTGTTTCTAGAGTGATCGAGGTGCTTAAAGTGTGGCTAAGCTGTTGCTAGGGTGTTCTGAATGGTTGCCAAAGTGTTGCTATGTGGTTGTTACAGTTTGCTAGGGTATTTTGCGTGGTTGCTAGGGCATTGGTTTAAAGTTGCTAAGATGTTCTGAGTGTCTGTTAGCGTGTTACTATGTGGTTTCCAGGGTGTTTTGTGTGCTTAGAGCTGTTGAGTGGCTGCCAGGGTGTGGCATTGCTAAGGTGTTTTGGGTGCTTGCTAAGCTGTTGCTAAGCTGTTGCTAGGGTGTTCTGAATGGTTGTCAAAGGTGTTGCTATGTGGTTCTTTGAGTTTGTTAGGGAATTGTGCGTGGTTGCTAGGGCATTGGTTTAAAGATGCTCTAAATGGCTGTTATTGTTTCTAGAGTGATCGAGGTGCTTAAAGTGTGGCTAAGCTGTTGCTAGGGTGTTCTGGGTGGTTAGGGTTGCTTACTGTCTCAAGTGAAAAGAGTCTCTGTGATATTCACATAACTATATATTAGCAGCGTTGATTTTGGAGCACACCTCGTTTGCTCAGACACTTTGCCCCATTATCAGAGGTAATGGTGCTTTCATTATGAGTGATATCCTGTGCCAGGAGGAAATGGAGAGTAATGGATGTGACTTTGCCCCGTTTCGATTAAATGGGGTTCAGCAAAGAGCCATATATGTCAAAATAATCCTCTCTTAGCAGCTGATATGTCAGTTGTCACTTAGAGCTGCAGGCCAGATCATAAAGTTTCCATTTACTGCAACTGAGCTTTTTCCCGTAAGGCTGATGGTGCACAGAGAGAAACACTTGCTATCAATTGATGTGCTTACAGGTTACTCACAATATTTCCAGGATATTACAATGATTAAATGATTAATATCAACAGTGCTGGGTAGATTACTTACAAAATGTACTCCACTACTGATTCCAAATTACATGACAAAAATTGTAGTTAGTAACGTAATCCATTACTTTACACATTTTAGTTAAGAAAACGGGCAAATAGAATGTAATAGTGTACTTGAATGTGTTTATTTTCTTTTGGGATCCATTTAAACTCATCAATAAGCTCATGTAAGACTTCTTTTTATCTAGTGTCTATATCAGGCTCAAGTATGACAGAAGCGCGGTCATCTGTGTCTACCAGCGCAGATTATCTATATGTTCACCGGTCAGAAACCCTCCAAACATGCAGTAGAAATCAACCATGTCTTTTATAGCTGCCATTATCAGGAGTGTGAGTGATAAGGCCTGAAACTAAATGGGCGCACCTTAATAAATGATGGATGAGGAGACGCAGCAATGCAACAGACCGGAGTGCTTTGGACAGAACAAAACTTGATATGCGAGAAACATGTTTATGGTGCCCACAGTGCATCAAGCATTGCTTCAAGTTGTCCAAACAGAATTCTGTGGTGTATTCCCATGCCAAAGTGTAAAGTAGGCTGGACAAAAGGCGTGCATCGGCTATTACAAAGATCCGATTTCGATAAAAACAATGGCTGTCTCTTTTCCCTTTTGTTTTGTCAAGACATATCAGTCAAGTGCAGCTCTGCTGCTTCTCCTGCCGATGTGCTGTCTGTTACAAACTCTAAATTATTGAGCAACGTGGCAGCTCATCTTTCACAGCCAACAAATTCATTCATCCGAGCCAAGACTCAGAAATTGGGCCAGCCGATGATACAGGGCATGCATTCCCTAGAAACACTGTGCTTTTTAAGAAAAATAATAGATTTTCTGAAGAAAATATGGTGTTTGTCCATGCAAAGCTCACCAACACACACAAGGGTGTGGTGAATGGTTGCCAGGGCGTTGCTCTGTGGTTGTTAAGGTGTTGTGAATGGTTGCTAGGGTGTTGCTATGCAGTTGCATACAGAATGTGTTTTACGGGTTAATAGTGTGTTGCCATGCAGTTGCTATGAAGTTGTGGATGGTTGCCAGGGTGTTGCTATGAAGGTGAATATACGTTCTGTGGGTTAGTGTGTTGCCATGCAGTTGCTACGGTGTTGTGGATGGTTGCCATGGCATTGGTATGCAGTTGCTAGGGTGTTGTGGATGGTTGGCAGGGTGTTGCTATGCAGTTGCATATACATTCTGTGGGTTAGTGTGTTGCCATGCAGTTGCTAGGGTGTTGTGAATGGTTGCCAGAGCATTGCCCTGCGGTTGTTAAGGTGTTGTTAATGGTTGCCAGGGCGTTGCCATGCAGATGCTATGGTGTTGTGGATGGTTGCCAGGGCATTGCTACGCAGCTGCATACAGTATGTGTTCTACAGGTTAATAGTGTGCTGCCATACAGTTGCTAGGATGTTGTAGATGGTTGCCAGGGAGTTGCTATGCAAATACATACAGTATGTGTGCTGCAGGTTAATAGAGTGTTTCCCTGCAGTTGCTAGGGTGTTGTGGATGGTTGCCAGGGCGTTGCTATTCAGTTGCGTCTGTGTTCTGCAGGTTAATATTGTGTTGCCATGCAGTTGCTAGGGTGTTGTGGATGGTTGCCAGGCCGTTGCTATTCAGTTGCGTCTGTGTTCTGCAGGTTAATATTGTGTTGCCATGCAGTTGCTAGGGTGTTGTGGATGGTTGCCAGGCCGTTGCTATTCAGTTGCGTCTGTGTTCTGCAGGTTAATATTGTGTTGCCATGCAGTTGCTAGGGTGTTGCAGATGGTTGTCAAGGCGTTGCTATGCCATTGAATATGTGTTTTGCAGGTTAATAGTGTGTTGCCATGCAGTTGCTAGGATGTTGTGGATGGTTGCCAGGGTGTTGCTATTCAGTTGCATATGTGTTTTCAAGATAGATAGATCATTTATTTGTCCTCTGAGAGGAAATTAATTTTCAAATTTGCAGGTTAATAGTGTGTTGCCATGCAATTACTAGAGTCTTGTGGATGGTTGCCAGGGTGTTGTTATGCAGTTGCATGTGTATTATGAGTGGTTAATAGTGTGTTGCTATGCAGTTGCTAGGGTGTTCTGGATGGTTGCTTACTGGCCCAAATGAATGAGTCTATTTAATATTCCGCTCTCTAGATTTGCCTCGAGTCCCTTCTTAATGTGCTCATAAGAGTCAGTCAGTGATGTAAATGCATGATCAGCCTCACCACAGTGAGTTTCAGTGCTTACATAAGAACATTCACTGAGACTGAGGCTGATCTGCTGTGTGTGAATGTGAGTGTATCTCTTTGTCTCTGTATGGCATTGCTCCAGGATGAGTCAGCTAGTGTTGGCTGTGTTATCAAAGCTCAACATTGTTGTCTTTAACACTCCCACAGACTGCTGATGATGGTATTCAGGAGCTTTAGATGTCACTGCCATCTAGTGTCTGTAGCGAAAAACTGTAGGTCTTTAACATTTTTATGCATTTGGCATATATATATATATATATATATATATATATGCATGTATGCATCAAAATAAACACAGTAAAATCTTGTCTGGACTGCAAAATGATGTTGTGCTTTTCAAACTACACTGAAACACTTACAGTGAGTTTTAGTGACAGAAAGAAAATGTCAATGGAAACATCTCACTTCCTGCATCAAAAAACAGAATTGAGGTTTTGACAAATGAAACTGGACATTTATGAATGACACTTTGTAGAAACAAAGTGCGACAGAAAGCAACAGACACCTACAACAACCACAAACCGGTCAGATGTTTAGGTGGGTTTTCACAGTGGTGTCCCTGGAATGTTTGTTATATACAAATGTAATTTTTGTTCTACATTTATGTTGATACTGACTGGCCATTTTGTCTAGCTGATTGCTATTGTGTATCACACTGAGCTTTTTAGATATCCATATTAACAGTTGTCTGGGAAAAGTCAATAATGTTATACACAGAAAAATAATATGCTGATTTGCATGCAGTGTTGGCGGTAACGCATTACAAGTAACGTTAGTTACATAATCAGATTACTTTCTTCAAGCAACTAGTAATTCATTACTTTTTAATTTACAAGAAAATATCTGAGTTACTTTTTCAAATAAGTAATGGCAGCTACTTTCTTTCCCATCTATAGACTGACAGCTCTCCTGTCCTCATGTCAGGCCAGATGAGAAATAGTAATGCAAAAGCAACGTCATGCATTACTTTACATAAAAAGTAACTAACTAATGCAATTAGTTTCTTTTTTAGGGAGTAACACAATATTGTAATGCATTAACTTTTACCAACACTGTTTGCATGTATAGAGTACATTTATATTTGTAGCAATGAGTACCAGAAAATTCACATTTGCACGTTCATTTTTTACCTGCAAAGAAGTCAACATTTGCCCATTTTGCAGAAGCTTCTGCGCATTAGAAGTTTAAGAATTTTTAATAAGTATTTAAAGGCAGAGGCGGACAAAGTACTCAGCTCCATTACTTGAGTGAACGTACAGATACCGCCAGTCAAATATTACTCCATAACAAGTAAAAGTTGTAAAGACAGATTTTTACTTAAGTAAAAGTACAGAAGTAATTGCTTTTAAAAGTACTTAAGTACCAAAAGTAAATTTCCTTTTTTGTGTCAATGCACTGTTTTATTATTGTTGTACGTAATAATTGCAATACTTCTGAAGCAACTTACAATACAGTACATCTACTGAATACACTGACTAGCTTGTAGTATCTTTGGAATAAAGAGCTTTTAGAATGTTAAAAACCTATGGGGAAAAAAAACAAAACATAAATAAATAAATAAATATATATATATATATATATATATATATATAAATAAATAAATATTACAATACTCAAGTAAATGTACTTAGTTACTGTCCGCCTCTGTTTAAAGGACACACATCATTTGAAATAATACATCAGTGATTAGAATATTATATAGCCTAGTATATGGTGTATTTCATTTAAACTGAAAGAAATTACCCAACACATCCACAAATGTTTTTGAGTTGATTTGGCTTTAAACTTGATTCTTCAACACCAGCGTTGGGGTTTTGATGAAACTGGACATGAATACGACTTTGAAAAGTGCTTTTTGAGGTTTGTGGGGAATGATGCATCTGATGAAGGAAGTGAAACGTTTCCATCCGCTTTGACACAGACACTTGATAACGAAGTGAAACACATTTAATAAATTAACCTTTTTTTTTAAACAATAATATCGATAAGCATTTTTGTTATTGCATATCAAAACAACTCCATCCCACAAAATGCAGACAATAACAACCATTTGATACAAAAACTGTATATTTCATCATATTTACTGGCTCTTTACACAAGTAGCTAACAGACATCATGTGTCTGCGGTAAGTCATGTCCTGTCTAAGACAGTGTGGTGCTGTCAGACTCAGACAACAGACTTTAGAAACCGGACAAAAAAAGCCTCATAAGAATGAATGACAGACAGAAAAATATTTCCCCACGCATGTGAATGAATGCAGTGTAGCGCGAGGGGGCGGAGTCTGGCTCAGGTGCGTGACGTCAGCACTTCCTGCTCGCGCAGGTATCTCGGTATCGGACACACCTGAAGCTCCGGATCTGACTGCCGCAGTTTTACTCAGAATCGACGACGCATTTCCATCGAAACTGCTTTAAACGACGGTTTATGTCTGGCTAATGAGGAATTACACCGTTCTGGAGGAGACGAGCACTTGTAGAGCTGTTTAATCGGTAAGAAGATGAAATGTTTCAGCGCAAAACCAAACATCTGCTGCGTTTTTCTCCGGCGGCCTTGTAATGTTTATGTTTATTTATGAGTAAAGCAGAAATGTTCGGTAGAAAACTTTCGATTTTGTGTCACAGAAGATTGGCGAGTGTTTGAACGACATAGCCTATAATGCGCATTACATTATTTCACTGAAGTTGCTTAAAGTTTCCCTTCGTTTTATTCTTGACCTTTTTAGGGGAGAAAATGACTTTATTGGTCGAGACACTCTTGTGTAAAGATTGTGTAAAGTTTACTAAACTGACTTTGAAGTGAGCGTTTTTTCTTGTATATATGATAACTTATTATGACTTATTATAGTAGATAATACATGTATTAAAGTCTAATACTATAAATTAATAAGCTAGTGTAATCTTCTCACGTTGATTTTGAGTCATATGGGTCGATTTAAGGTTATCATCTGGATAACAGTGGCCCAGTTGACCTGGATTCACCATATGTTTGTAAAAATAAAGACTTTTCAGCAGAGAAGTTGTTATTTTCCAGAGGAGAAAGACTCCTTATTAGTTCCTTTTGGAATTAGTAATTATTTCGACCATAAATATTTATAATTTAATGTGTTTTTGACTTAATCATTATAAAGGGATTTTTCTTGGGGGTTTGTTATTTTGATTTGGGCATTCTTTCAGCTATATTATATTATATAAATATTAATTGGAAATTGTATTTTATTCAAATGTTCTCTTTCTATTCAGATTGGCCTTTTATCCTTTATAAAGGGATTTTACTTTAAACTCTGTTGACTTTTTTATGATTGTTTATGGATTTGGTCGTTTTACCACCAGCTATATATAAAATATTATTTGAACGTTTTTTAATGACTCCTTTATATATTAATTCTGGATTTAATATGTAGCAGACTGTTTTATAAATATTATTTGGAAGTTTTAATGTTTTCGCTTACTTTTCAAATGGGTCTTAAATCATTGTTAAAGGGATTTTGATCTTTAGATAAATACTTTTTTAAAAATTCTTTATAGATTCATAAAGAACATATACATAAAAAAACATAAATATAGCTAGTAGAATGACTAAATCCATATAAGTATTATTTGTTCGTTTTTATTTTTATCTTTTAAATCTCTTTTCAGGCTCATTTTGAATCATCTATAATGGACTTTTCTGGAGGTTTTGTTCTTTGGAGAATGACTCCTTTTCGAGTCTTTGTGTGTTTATGTGATTCATCCTATCAGCTTTATATACGTTTTATTTGTAGGTTGTAATGTTTAAAGTCTTCTCTTTTCAGATTGGTCTTGAATCATTTATACAGGGATTTTACTGGAGGTTTTGTTCATTCGGAGAATGACTCCGGCTCGGCTCTGGTTCTTCTGGACCGCGGTGGTTTTGCATGTGGCTCCATCAGAGGCTCAGGATGAAGGGAAATGCATGGATAAGTTCAGTCTTGGCAAAGAGGATTTTGTGTTGGACGTAGATGAATCTGTGAAGGAAGGGGCCACGTTCCTGAGTTCTCCTCAAGTGTCTCGGCCTGAAGACTGTGTTCTGGCCTGCTGTAATGATCCAAACTGTAATCTGGCTCTGATTGAACATGGAGAAAATCCCAAAAGCATCAGCTCGTGCTTCATCTTCAACTGTCTGTACAAACAGAAGAAAGTCTGTCGCTTTGTGAGGAAGAATGGCTTCAGCAACTACGTTCTGATATCTGTTTTTAAAGATTACCTTGAGCAAAAAAATTCAGGTAAGCGGAAATTGTGTTTCTGGAGATGTTAAAAGACATTACTTTTTTCTATATATTGTTGACAGCTGTGTTTTGAAATCTATTTTTTAAGATTACGTTGTGCAACAGGTGCAAGGTAAGGGAAATGATCTTAAATGTGTCTAGAAGTCTGTTGTAGATGTCTTTTTTTTTTACAGTTCAGTAATAAATGAGTATATTCAGGTGTTTTATATGCAGTGTTTTCAGATTTGTCTTAAACCTGTTGAGGAGATACTCCTGGAAATACTCATGCATGTCCAGACCTGCTGAAATCTTCAGAAGTGTTCGGTTGTAGTAACCAGGGGCGTAGAAATAATTTGAGCAGATGGAGACAGTTAGACCTTAACCTTGACAGGTTTATTGTTATGGTTAACTAAAATCATAAAAAAACATAGAAATATAAAAAATGAAATATAATGCATTAAATTTTTATTTCATGGACTAAAATAGCTAAAACTAAAATAAAAAATGAATAAAAACTATTTATAAATATTAAAAAAGACTAATAAAAATGGAAAAAAACCACAACAAAATTAGTAAAAATTTAACTAAAATTCAAATAAAATGGAAACGATAAAACCAATTCAAAATATTAATAAAATGGCAAATACTTCTAAAAATACTTCTTATAATAGCATTTATTAATCTTAGTTAATGTCAATTTCAGCATTTCTCAATACATTTTTAAAATCAAAAGTAGTTTCTTTTAAAGGTGACATTGGAGGCCCATTTCACACAAGTTGTCATGTTGCTTTAGGGTATTTCTGAAATGTCTGTAACATCATCATGCCAGGATCGCTTCATTGGTCAAACGCGCTTTGCAATCTGTTTGCAAAAAAGGGTGGGAAGAGGGCGGACTCCATATTTTGCTCTGAGGCGGTCATGTTCAAATAAATAACTAGTTACATCAAAACCGGCACCAAAGTGAAACATTTTTAAACTCTGATATTAACAAACTGGCTGAATGTTTTCTTTTCAGCCTTTCTGAGCTGGCAGACACAGCAGAAACCTAACTAAATGCAAAAAAAGCTACAAAATTGAAAATTTCATCTGATGTCACTTTTAATATTTTTTAATGGATCTGAGCTGATATGAACTAACAACGAACAATTGTATTTTTATTAACAAAAATCAATAAAGATGAATAAACATTGTAACAAAAGTAATGCTCATTGTTATTTGATGCATTAACTAATTGGACCTTATTGTAAAGTGTTACCATAAAAATTCTAATAGAATCTCACTGATACTAAAATAATAAGTGCAGTTTTTTGCAGTGACTGGCAAGACATATTAAATATTACTTATTTAATACAAACTATAGAGCCAGTAGCATTTAGTTTACGTCACAACCATCTGATTGACAAACAAAAGAATACCCTCTGGAGTTCAAGATCGATAGTTTTCCTGTTTTTATGGAAGAGAAAGGCTGTAAATTAAATGCACGTATCTTATAAATGTTTATTTTGTCATGGTTTTGGAGTACAGTAGCAAATAGACATGGACTAAAATTCACAAATTCAGATTTCATGGAGTCTTAGGACTTTGAAAAGTAAAGATTATCCATGAGCTGAATGCAAGAACATGTAAATGTTGCTGTTGTGTTTCTGCACCCCTGATATCAACCGTGTAGAATCTCATCATTTAGTGTCAGTATCTTTTAGCCTCAAACTTTAATTTCCTCTGCATGTTTTAAAGGGGTCATATGAAGCGATTTCAATTTTTTCTTTCTCTTTGGAGTGTTACAAGCTCTTGGTGCATAAAGAAGATCTGTAAAGTTGCAAAGACTAAAGTCTCAAATCCAAAGAGATATTCTTTATAAAAGTTCAGAGCCAGCCACGCCTACCTAAAACAACTCGTTCTAACACGCCCCCACATGTCTACGTCACTATGTGGGAAGATTTGCATAACGCCGCCCAAATGTCACGCAAAGTTTTTTGAACCTTAAACCGCATAAACACATTTCATTACACCAAATACACAAAATAATGTTCTTTTTAGCAACATCATATGACCCCTTTAATAGTTCTTCTAACTCACCCTATCTACTGATCTTCAGTATACAAGATCCATCTTGCAGTGTTCTCTCATAAGCTCTGGCTTGCTTACTCGCTATCATTCTTGGCATCTTGTGCAATTCCCACCGTTATTGTTTCATATTGCATAATGTTTCATCGCTGCAGTGTTTTGATTTCTTGCAGATGTGGAGGACAAACATCCAGTCGCAGTGACCGGGCAGGACAGAGTCGTTCAGCCCAAAGAAGATGTGGTTCTGAACGGCATTGAGAGCAAAGACGATAAAAAGATTGTAAAATATGAGTGGGAAAAGGTGTCTGGAGACCCATCAGCAGTTATGACGGTGGGCTCAGGTTCATTATTAGAATAAGAATTTCTGAAAAAACAAATTGTGCCTATGTATGACTGTTAAACTACCCTTTTAATTCCCTTTTTTTATTTATTTGAAGCCTTTATGTATGATGCTTTATAAAGGTATTCATAATGTATATTATAATGCATGATATCTTTTCATAAATAATTGTAAAAAAAAAAGTATAAAATAATAGTAATAAATATATTCAAAGTTAATGTGCATTTTACAGATTCCTTGCTACATGCATATGAATAATAATCTTTTTATATGAATTATGATGTGTAACTACGAAGCATTATAATATATTATAACTGTTATAATTATTCATGAGATCATACAATGTATTATAAGGCATAATTAATGCATTAAAATACTTTAATAATGCATTACATAGAAAGGCTTCAAGTAAAGCATTACCGATATTGGTTAAGATTTTGGGGGGGGTTTTTTCATGCTTTTTTTTTTAAATGAATTATACTTTCTAAAGGTGTAACAAAGAATAGATAAGTATTTTAATATAATGAATGCATTACAAATAGGGCTGGAGATTTAACGGGTTAATTAGATTCATTTTTAACGCATGTAACACACTTGCAGAGTGTCCTACGTGGGTCATCTGACATTTCATACAGCTGATTTATGACAAATATGATGCAGGGCAACAAACTCACTGCGTGATGGAGCCTAGAGAATGTAGTTAGAATGTCCCTAAAATTCAAGATTTGGGGCAAAAATGCCCCCGTTTGAGTTTCTGACTCATATTTACATCATATAGTTAAGCAATATCACACGAGCAATAAGTGCAATATCACACGAGTGCAAATGTGATACGGATCTTATACAACAGTTCAGTAAATAAGAAGTTAATAGTGTGTTATTTTAGACGCAATATGCGACTATCTGTTTTGCTCAATTTTGCCAACGAAAATATATGCAACACAGCTGCATTTCATTTCTTAATCCACGTTTTGAACGAATTGGGTGAAGCATTAGGCGCGTTGGATTTGAAGCGGCGCTGCACAGATCGATCGGTGTATGACATTAAAGTACCGCGAGAGCAATTCAAAAGCATAAGGATTCGTCTGCTTTCTGTAGCTCTCGCGGTACTTTGATAATCGTGACGTGACATGTGGCCAAGTATGGTTACCCATACTAGGAATTAGTGCTCTGCATTTATCCCATCCTAAGTG